GCTGTGTTCATCCAGCTCTACACCTTGTTATACCACATATTAAAGCATTTCATTTTTCGAAATGGAAGAAGAAAAAATACCTTTTGTCACCTAATAGCTTTGTGACTTCATCTGCTTTTTCTTCACTTAAAAGAAGAGAAAATGCTTGTTAGTGCTAATGAAATAGTTAAGGCTAATTTTTAAAAACTATGGATTTCAAAGGCATTTGACATACCTGAAAATCTTTGCAGAGGTACTATAACTGATAAGACAGAAAAAAAAAAACAAGCACGTGCATTAGGAAAATATGTCAAATACAAATGGGTGCAGTATTGCCAATTCTTAACATAATTGTACAATTATGAGTAACCCACATAACAGTAAGTATGTGAGGGAGTGATGAAATAGAAGATTCATCAGAAATATATTCCAAAAATATATTAGAAAATCTCTTCTTAAAGCTGCATGGAAACAGACTGCTCAATCCAATTTGTCCATGCCAACCAGGTTTCCCAAACTAAATTGGACACATTTGCCTGTATTTGGCCCATATCCCTCTTAACCTTTCCTACCTCTCTTCCTGTTGGTTTTGCTTCCACATCAAATGTCACCAGGTCACATTTATTATTATTCTAGAAAATTATACTTGATCTCTTTGCAGGGATGCAGGAAGAGAGTGGCATAGTGATAATGTAACTAGATTAGCAATTCAGAGATCCAGATAATGCCCTGGGGTCATGAATTCAAATCCCACCACAGCACATGGTAGAATTTCAATTCAATTAACAACTGTCGAATTGAAAGCTAATCTCAGTATTGTAGTTGATTATAGATTGTTTTGAAAACTCACCTGGTTTACTAATGCTTTTGAGTGAAGGAAATCCGTGAGAGGTGCATTTTGGAATGGCAAATCAGGGTAGGACATATACACTTAATGGTAAGGACCTGCGGAGTGTTTCTGAACAAAGAGACCTTGGAGAGCAGGTTCATAGTTCCTTGAAAGTGAAGTTGCAGGTAGACAGGGTAGTGAAGGAACTGTTTGGTATGCTTGCCTTTATTGGTCAGTGCATTAAGTATAGGAGTTTGGAGGTGATGTTGCAGCTGTACAGGACATTGGTTCAGCCATTTTTGGAATACTGCATTCAATTCTAGTCTCCCTGCAATAGGAAAGATGTTGTGTTACTTGAAAGGGTTCAGAGAAGATTTACAAGGATGTTGCCAGGATTGGAAGGTTTGAGGAAAAGGAAGAGGCTAAATAGCCTGGGGCTATTTTCCCTGGAGCATCGGGGGCTGAGAGGTGAGAGGGGAAAGATTTAAAAGGGACGTAATGGGCAACTTTTTCACACAGGGGGTAGTGTGGATATGCAATGAATTGCCAGAGGAAGTGGTGGAGGCTGGTACAATTACAACATTTAAAAGGCATCTGGATAGGTATATGGATAGGAAGGGTTTAGAAGGATATGGGCCACATGCTAGCAAATGAGACTAGATTAATTCAGGATATCTGGTCGACCTGGACAAGGTGGACAGAGGGTCTGCTTCCAAACTGTACATCTCAACGACTAAGTCTGGAGTACTTATGACTCCAGGGCCACAGCAATACGACTGACTCTTAGCTCAGCTCTTAAATGACCTAGCAAGTCATTCAACTAAAGAACAGTTAGGGATGGGGAATTAACACTAGTGTCACCAGCAATGCTTACATTCCAAGAAAGAATAAAAGGTTAGTGCACATTATAAAACATTAGTAAATATTTTTAAATAAATAATGATTCCACACACATTTTAATGAAACTACATACTTTCCTTACTGTACAGATTCTAGACATTATGTCAAAAATGTTTCTGGAGATAGGTCACATTGACTTTTCTTTAAAGAATGTTATCTAGCTTTTGTTTTTATTTTAATGAAATAGGCTTTCATTGAAACACAATCATGCGGTGTTGGTGATTTCATTTTAACCATAAAATAGTTTCATAGAAGCACGGTAAATAGGAACAGGAGTAGGCAATTCTGTCACTTGAGCCTCCACTGCCATTCAATATGATCATGGCTGATCATCCAAATCAGTATCCTGCTCCTGGTTTCTCCCCATATGCACTGATCCGTTTTGCCCCTACAGTTATACCTATCTCCTTCTCGAAAACACTCAACATTTTGGCCTCATTCGGTTTCTGTGGCAGAGAATTCCACAGGCTGACAACTCTCTGGGTGAAGAAATTTCACCTCACCTAGGTTCTAAATGGCTTACCCCATATTCTTAAACTGGGACCCCTTGTTCTGGACTCCCCAGTCATCAGGAACATCTTTCCTTCATTTTCCCGGTCTTGTCCTGTTAGGATTTTATAGATTTCAATGAGATGCCCCTCTATTCATCTAAACTCTGGCGAATACAGTCCAATCTCTTTTCGTATGTCAGTGCTGCCATCCCAGGAATTAGTCTGGTAAATCTTCATCATACTCCCTCCATAGCCAGATAAGGAGATCGAAACTACACACAATACTCCAGGTGTAGTATCACCGAATTCCAGTACTAACGCAGCAAGACATGCCTGCTCCTGTTCGCTAATTATCTCACTACAAAGGCCAACATACCATTTGCTTTCCTCCCTGCCTGCTGCACCCGCATATTTATTTCCAGCAATTGGTGTACAAGAACACCATGTGTTGTTACATGACCTCCTTTCCCAATCTATTAGCTTTTAAAATTACTGTTTTTGATTCCTATTTTTACTATCAAAATGGATAACCTCACATTTATCCACATTATCCTTTGTCTGCAACGCATTTTCATACTCGCTCAACTTGTCCAAATCACAATGAAGCATCTCTGCAACCTCCTCACAGCTCATCCTCCCATCCACCTTTGTGTTGTCTGCACACCTGGAGATATTACATTTAGTTCCCTCATTGAAATCATTAACATATATTGTGAAGAGTTGCAGTCTGAATATTGATACCTTCTGTATCCAATGGTCAATGGCTGCCACTCAGAAAATGACCTGTGTATTCTTCTTTGTTTGCTATCTGCCAACCAGTTCTCCACCCATGTCAGTCCACTACCTCTAATACCATACGCTTTAGCGTTACATGCTAATTTCCTTTGTGGGACTTATTAAACACCTTCTGAAAGTCCAAGAAAACCACATCCACTGGTTGCCCTCCCCTCCATAAACTCTTCCAGTTACATTCTTGAAAAACTTCAGTAGATTTGTCACGCATAATTTCCCATTCGTAAGTCCATACTGACTCTGTCCTATCTCGTCACTGTTTTCCAAGAGCTCTGCTATTAAATCCATTATAACGGACTCCAGCATTTTCCTTACTCTCGATGCAAGGCTAACTAGTCTCTAATTTCCTGTTTCTCTCCATCTCCTTTTTTAAACAGTGGATTAGTTACCCTTCAGACCATAGGAACTGTTCCAGGGTCTAGAGAATTTGTCAGCCTTTAGTCCCATCAATTTCCCTATTAATAATGAATTCCTTCTTTTGTTCCCCAACATTTTCAGGACACTATTTGTGTCCTTCTTTATGAAGGCAGAGCCAAAATATGTATTTAATTGGTCTACCATTACACAAAAGAAATGAATAAACCAAACCATCGACATAACACATGTTTAAAGATTTCAAATCACACAGTAAAAGTACAATCCCATTAATATCAGAAATACTGCTTTATAGTACGAACACAAGAGAATTCCCTCCTATTTCACATCTTTAAGGCTTAATTCAACTGTGGCTTCAATGCCCTTTCTTGAGAATCTTACTGGCCCTTCTGGAAGCCTTCATATAACTGACATTAGACTTTCTCACCTTCAAATAAAAAGAAATCTGCTATCCATGGTCAGACCTACATGTGACCACAGACACTCAGCAATGTGGTTGACTCTTAATTGACTTCACAACTGGCCTAGCAAGCCATTCAGTTGTATCAACTGCTAGAAAGGAAAAAAAGGAATGACACTGAATGGACCACTTGGCATTGATCACGGCACCAGAAACAACATGGCAAACACATCCCTGGCAACCAACCCTGCAATGTCCTCTTTATTAATATCTGGCAGCTAATGCCAAACCTGGGAGAGCTATTTCACTGGCTAGCAAAGCAATAGACCAAAACAATCATACTCTCGGAATTGTACCTTACACACAATGTTCCAGCCAACAGTTCCTGGGTATGCCTTCTCCACCTGGATAGACTCACCAGAGGTAGCTGCACAGTGATATGCAGTCATGACAGAATTGTCCTGGGAGTTCTCAACATTGACTCCAGGCTCCATGATGGCATCCAGTCAAATGTGGACAAGGAAAGCTCCTGCTGATTACCACGTACTAGAGTATCAACCTGGTGAAGCTACTCAACAGGACTACTTTCATACCAAAGAGCATAAGTAGCAAGTGATGAGCTGAGCTAGGTGATATCACAAGCAAAGGCCAAATCTAATTCTGCAGTTCTGCCACATCTAGTTGTGAATGGTGGTATGCAATTGTACTATGACTCTACAACTCACTGGTTGTGGTTCCACAAATGTCTCCATCCTCAATAATAGAGTTGGTGGGGGGTCCAGTGCAGTGCAAAACATAAGGCTGAAGCATTTACAACATTTTTCAGCCAGAAGCATCAACTTGACAATCCATCTTGGCCTCTTTCTCTGGTCCCTAGCATCACAACTGCCAGTCTCTTGCCAATTTGATTAACTTCATGTTATATTAAGAAAAGGCTGGAGGCACTGGATACTGGAATGGCTATGGCCCTGAGAGCACGAAGACCTGTGATTAAGAATTTGCTGCACCCCAACCCAAGCTGATCATTAGCTATAATGTGGAAAATTGCCCAGCTATGTCCTGTACACACAATGCAAGACAAATCTAACCTGGCCAATTATTGCCCCATCAGTCTACTGTCAATCATCAAAGTGATTAAAGGTATTATTAACAGCACTATCAAGCAGCACTTATTTCGTCATAACCTACTTACTGAAACTTGGTTTGGGTTATGCTAGGGTCACAGAGTTCCTGACTACAGCCTTAGTTCAAAAAGTGGACAAAGGAGCTGAGTAACTGCTCTTGACATTTAGGCTGCATTTGATCAAGTGTGGCCTCCGGGAGACCGAGTGAAACAAGTCAATAGCAAAAGGAATTCTCCAGACGTTGGAGTCAATCCGATACTAAAGAATATGGTTGTGGTTGTTGGAGATCAGTCACCTCAGCTCAAGGACATTTCTGTACGAGTTCCTCAGGGTAGTGTCCTACACCCAGTCATCTCCAGCTGCTTCAATGGCCTTCACACCATTCAAAGATCAGAGCTGGGGATGTTTGTTAATGATTTAATAATGTTCAGCATCATTCACAATTCTCCAGACACAGTAACAGCCATGTCCAAATGCAACAAAATCAGTATAATATCCTGATTTGAGCTGACATGTGGCAATGAACATTCATGCCACACAAGTGTCAGAAAATGCCCATCTTCAACAAGAGAGAATCCTGCCATCATCCTTCACAATCCATATCCTGACTGTTACCATTACCAGAAATGAACATGCCTAGCCATAAAAATACAATGGCTACAACAGTATTGTCAGAGTCAAGGAATCCTGCAGCAGGATTCTTGCTGACTCCTCAAAGCCTATCCACTATCTAAAAGGCCATCTAGAAGTAATATGATGAACACTTCCTGTATCTTGGCAGACATTGATGAGAAAATCCAACACCAGATCAGCTGCGCCAGTGCAGCTTTTTACAAATTATGGCAGTGATTGATTAATGATAAAGACCCATGTAACTTAAAAATAGTTATCATCACTGCTCACCTGCGCTGCTATGAAACCTGGACTGTGTATCAGACACGCAAGAACACCAGAGTAATTTCATCAGCAATGCCTCCGTCAAATGCTCCAATGCAATGGGAAGATACTGAACAAACACCAGTATCTTTCTTGAAGCAGGGTCCAAAAGCAATCAGACAAAACTGCAAAATCAATTTTGATGGACTAGACACTGTGTTCAGATGGTCAAAAACCATTGCCTATACCATGTCTTGATCCATCAAGTTTCAAATGGCCAACACTCTCTGAAGACACAAACATTCTTTAAACAATTGCAGCAGTGATCTTAATGACTGTAAGCAGCATTCTGAATGACGACACCCTTGTGTATTAAGTTGTAATGAGCTTTGAGTCCCAATGCCTTAACGAAGGGCAGCAGGGAAGGGAAGAAATGGAATGCAATTCTGCACTCCAGATCCCACTATCTTATGAAACAGTCAACCCCTTATACGCAACGTCCAAGGGGTTGAAAATTGAGTGATTCTGTCACATGCGGAGTCATGGCATAAAATTGTAACCCTAAGCAGACATCACCCTTGAATCAAGGGGCAACTCCTGCCGCTGGGAAGCAGACATGTTAAAAAAGCAAAGGGATGATAGATGAGAGAAAGGGGTGATTCTGAGAAAAGAAAGTAAGAGATGGTTTTTGAGGAATTTACTAAATTGAAAGAAGTACAAGGCAGTGTTTTATCTGAAAGGAGGCTTTTAGACCTTATAGGAAGTAAAAAGGGCAACTGTTGTACCTCCAGTAGCTGTATCGGAGGGGAGGGGATTGAACAGTAGACATTGGCAACAAGGATGAAAATTAGAAGTGACGTTAATGAAATTTTCCACTAAAGGGCAAGAACAAAAAGCTGCACCACCACAGTTATGAAGGTATCAGAAAAAGACATAAACAATGGAACCAACAGCAGGACTGGAACAAACAATATTCTACTCATCCCACAAAAAAGGCAGACATTTCGCTGACTCATAGGAAGTTCTCATCCCTATAATTTGGAGAAAGATGGAGGTTCAAAGGAGGAGTTGTGAATTTTAATAACAACTTGAGCCCAGGGGAGGAGGGTGGTGGTGGATATGGCCCTCATAACTTCAAGTGGAAGGAGGCGCACTGCCTATATTGCTGGGTATGCACATGCGGAGACTGAATATCAATGGTGAAAAAGAGATGTTCAGGGCCAAGAAGTTGCAGAGAGTATCAGATGGCTCTTAGATATAGGTATGAAAAAATGAACAAAGGTGAACAAAGAAAATTCAAGATAGGATGAAATAAGTTCCATGGGGCAAGAACAAGCTCCAACCACAGGTCTATGAGGGCAGTCCTGTTTGTGGATCTGGGAAGGAGACAAAAGCAGGTTATTGGTGCTGGAGGTGGAGGTGGGGGTGGGGGGAGGGGGGGTGGTGGCGGGACTGGAAAAATATCTCCAGAAGAGACAAATTCAGCGAGTCTGGGAAACCAATAGCTTTACGTTTCTTTTATGGCACAGTCTGGAGGAGGTTGGTGATCCTATTGGAGGGTTGCTGTCTCACACCTTCAGCATAAAGATGAGTATGCCAAATCGCCAATTTGTCAGCATATTTAATGACATGTTAAGGTCAGGCCATAGTGAGTGGAATACTGCAAGTTCAGAGGGAAGTTACAGTGATTGAGCTGAATTAAAAGGCCTAAACAGGGTACAATGAAAAGGAAAAAAAAATTGCAATTATGTAGTACCTTTCATGATTTGCCTCCCAACGTGCTTTGCAATTAACCAGGAACTTTTGCAATGGCATCACTGCCTTACTGTGGGAAACTCAGGAGCCAATTTGTGAACAAGCTTTTTTTTGATTCATCCAATCACAGGATGTGGGCGTCACAGCTTGGCCAGTATTCACTGGCTACCCTAATTGCTTAAGGGGTTGGGGGAGGAGGTTGAGAGTCAACCACACTGCTGTGGATCTGGAGTCACACGTAGGCCATCCCAGGTAAGGATGGCAGATTTCCTTCTCTAAAGGTCATTAGTGAACTACATGGGTTTTTCCTGACAATCGACGATAGACTCATGGTCATTATTCGGCTTTTAATTCCAGATTTTCATCAGTCATGGCATGATTTGAACCCAGGTCCCCAGAACATTATTTGGGTCTCCAGATTACTAATTAGTGATAATACCACTAAGTCCCATTACCTCCCCAAGCTCCCACAAACATCAGTGTGACAATGACCAGATAACATGATTTTGTGACGCTGACTGAATGATAAACATTGACAATACTCTGGTGATAATTTCCCTGGTCCTCTTTGAAGTAGTGTCTTGGGATCTTTTACATCTGAGAGAACAGGTGGAGCTTTGGTTTAACATCTCATCTGAATGATATCATCTCCAACAGTTTAGCAAGAGACCAAAGGGAGGCATCCAGAGAAAAGGGAAACTCTGAAGACAGCAGTAAGAGACAATTGTGTGGTGGGAAAATTCCTGGCCAACAAAGTAGACACAGAAGTGAAAGCTACAGAGGAGGAGCTGAGCATTATGACAAGCCAAAAATTCAATGAAGTGAGGACATTAGAGGATGAAGCTGACACCTTGACATTCTGAAGCCTATCTGCCAAGTTATATTTTTTTAAACTTCCTCCTTGTTTTAATAGCTGTTACCACCATAATACATTATTTTTGCCCTCAAATTCCAATATTGAACATAATACTACAAACAGGTTCATCCAATAGTGTATATAATATGCAGTGTATAACCATGCCATCTCTACTACTATTTCCTGTAATGCATTCTTCACTCCTCTTTGTATGTAATCCAACTCAAACAGTCTGTATTTGACAGAATGCTGAGTTGAAATCTTTATGGCTCAAACTGCTAAGATCAGGAAGTTTGTTCTGGGCTGCAGAGGACCTTGCATTGGAAATGGGAGGACCAAATGGCATAATCCACATCGGTACCAACAACATCGGTAGCACAGGAAACAGGTACTGTGGAGGCAGTATGAGAAAGCAGGTGTTAAACTGAAAAGCAGAACCTCAAAAGCTATTAATCTTTGGATTTCTACGTAGGCAACAAGGGAATTGGTATAGGATGAATAAGATTAGAGCAGTGAATGTGCGGTTCAAAGACTAGTGTAGGAGCAGTAGGTTCAGGTTTGTGGTACATTTGCACCGGGGTGGGGTGGGGGTTGCAGGGTAGTGCTATCTGTACGGTTGGAATGTTCAATATTTGAACTGTACTGGTGCGGGAAGTATGGAGGGCTTTAAAGTAAACGAACGGTGGGAAGGATCAAGCTTGGATAAATGTAACTAATCAAGAGCTATAATTGAGGAAGGAAAGCAAAATACTAATACAGAGAATGCCAGGAAGAGACAGAAAAAACAAGTCTAATATCATATCAGCATTCAAGGGCAGGTGCTACAAAGATAACAAAAATCAAAATAAAGGCTCTGTAGCTGAATAAATAAGATAGACATTAAATAAACATAGTTGCAGAATGACAAGGATTGGGTTAAAGAGTACCATTTGAAGATACTTTAACAGAGCATCCTGTGGAGTAGCATCCAGTGAGCAAGCTGAGTTTTTCTGTTTAAGTGAAGATGTTCAGCGCAGGTAGATGGGGGCTTTACTTTAGAATGGCATCTTGGTTAGCGCAGACATGGTGACCAAAGGGCCTGTTCCTGTGCTGCACTGTTCTATGTGCAAATGCCAGAAGTTGCTATCAGTTTCATAGTTGTAATGACAAAAGACCACTGAGTAAGGTCTTCCTGCTGAAGTTAAATGGGGGGGGCCTGTTCAGTGATCAGACCCTCCTTGTGCCTGAAATGCATTTAAACATTGTGTTCTATGTGTAAGAGATGTGTTAGGTTTGTTTGCATAGAGTCAAATTCCAATAAGTTTGTTTCCTTGAAATGCTACTGTACAGAACTGAACTGCGTTTGTGACTATGTACATATGCAAAGTCCTTTTATGAATAAAGTATACTTTTGAAATTAAAAAAAAGGCACTTTGCTGTTACAACTGTGAAATTTGGGTTAATGCCATATCACCATTTTCATTTTAGTCACATCTCATTCAATTTACCTTTTTGGTAATGCAGGCAACTTGGGCAAGAAAAGGCTTCCCTCTTCATCTAGTAAACTGACTGGGGTAGGAGCACTGAAAAGAAGTGTTCAGAACAGTAGATATTAAACAATAATCTGAAATAGTCAGATATCAACTACATTTATTCTTCACATTATCGATCACTTAGAAGCTTGTTTTATTCCCTGCATATTTTCATTGATTTCTTCACAACATGTCTACTTAAAGGAACAGGTGACTTCCTTGTACATCTTTGCTCATGTTACTTGGGGTTAGACTGTACTAACAGAACAAAATGAAATGAATTAAACTATGACCGCTCAGTATATTATGCAAGGTTTTTTTCTACTATGGTGCATTATGTGTAAAACCATTTACAAACATCTACAATCTCATTGTCGGAAAAAAGTGAGTTAAGTGTTCTGTCAGGAATGATTTCCACTGTAGCAATGCATAACAAGGTTGATGGCTCTTTTCTCTCTTAATCCAATCGTTTCTCTTTATTTGTGGACCGAATTGACTTTAACATGCATGCTATATGTCACACTGCTTCTCTTTCCTTCCGATTTCTTTGTCAATCATTAAATCACAGTGGTTAAAGAGATCAATTATAGGGCCCATCATTCACTGAACTCTTATATGTCCTATTGCCTTCCCCATGTCACTGTCAGTTCATATTTCCAGCTGATCACAGCACGTAAAAAAAATCAAATTTAAAATAGCCAAAAAATGTTTGATAGCAGCTGTTGCAACATTTAATACAAGTTTAGTCTTTAGTGCCTTATAACATCTAATAATGGATTTACTGTGGTTGGCTCACTCGCCAAGCTGCTTCGTTAGTTTGTAGATGTTTCATTACCCTGCTGGCTAACATCATCAGTACAGCCTCTGATGAAGCGTTGTTGTGTTTTCCCACCTGGTATTTAAACTCTGGTGTCCGTTGGAGTTGATTACCTCATTTACGGTTTTTTCTTTGCAGTGGTGTATATATAGGGTCTAATTCTACGTACTGAATTCTAAAATTCCCGTACTTATCTCTGTTTGGTTTGTCCTAGGACCTTGACGTTGTCCCAATCATCTCCATACACGTAGACAAGGAGAACCACCAGTTCGATTGGGACAACGTCAGGATCCTAGGACAAGCCAAATAGAGAAAAGTACGGGAATTTCTAGAGGCCTGGCTCTCCACCAAGAAGTCCATCAATAAACATGTAGAATTAGACCCTATATATACACAATTGTGAAGGAAAACTGGAAATGAGGTAATCAAATTCAACGGACCCCAGAGTTTAAATACCAGGCACTTTAAACAACAGCGCTTCATCGGAGGCTGCACTGATGATGTTAGCCAGCAGGGTAATGAAATGTCTGCAAACTAACGAACCAGCTTGGTGAGCCAACCAACCACAGGATTCACAACCCAAGCTACAAATCTACTCAAGAATAATGGATTTAACGTTTACAAAACTACATTCATTTAAAAAAAACAATTATTTTCATTATATATTATTATACATATTAATTGCACTAAGACTGGGCTAATGTTTTTAATACAAAACCAAAATAGTGAGGATGCTGGAAATGTGAAATAAAAACAAAATGATGTTGCAAACACCCAACAGACAGCACCTGCGCAGACAGAAAAGGGATCACATTAAAAGCTTGTAACTTTGTTCTAGTGCAAGGTTACAGATCTGAAATGCAAACTCTGTTTCCCTCTCCAGAGATGTTGCCAGATCATATGTTCTATATTACCTCTTTGGATCCATCACCTCAGTCCAATGCATACAGGTAACTACGTTTTCCAAGGAGAAAAAATGTAGGATCTCTGCTTTTTCCACATCACATAAAACAATTCGTCTTGTGTCTGCAAGACTAAAGGCTAAGACTAGTAGAAAAACAAAAAGAATTGATCATAAACAAATTCAATTTAACAAGTGAGACATCACGAACTCTGGCACATTTAGTGCTTTACCCTTTCCATCTGGCCTCCACGCTAGCGATGTTACTTCTTTTCCTGTGTTTTCATTAGGTGCCAAACTCCACACTCGTTGAAAGTGGGCAAGGCGATGAAGCAAAACCTAAAAATTTAAAAAAGATAATTATGGTGTAATTTTGATATATTTTGAGTAGCTCTTGTAAGTGGTGCACAAGCTGCCGAACAATAACCACTTGGTAGGTTGGCATATTAAGCAAGATGATAATGGGAACTTGTCAGAAAGGTATAGTGATAATATATCTAATTTTAAGCTATGTATTGAAAGACAGACAAGCAAAGATAGCATAAGTAAGGAGTTCGTAGAAGGTTTTCAGGGTAGCTTCTTAGAAGAGTATCTGGTCAAGCCACCTAGACAGCAGGCTGTACTTGACCTGGTATTGTGCAACAAGATGGGATTAATTCATGATTTCATACTGCTGAAGCACCCCCTCTACCAACAAAGCCCAAGTCGAAGCAACCCCAGCATAGAATCACAGCACTGTTACAGTGCAGGGGCCAAGAAGGCTGCTCTGCTCTCCAAATGAACTTAGTGCCATTTTCTTGCTTGTGCCCTGTACACAATGTTTCTATTCAAATAACTATCTAGTACCCACTTGAATATCTTGATCAAACCTGTCTTCACCACAGTTCTAAGCAGTGTATTCAAGATCTTAACTACACCGGTTTGAAAAAGTATTTTCTCACATTGCATTTGCTTATTTTGCTTACTGTACCCTTTCATTTTTGTTTTTTTTTTTTAAGAAAAGTGAAAACAGTATCTATGCCCAGATATCTTATGGTCTTGAAAATTTCTGTTATATTTTCCCTTAGCCTTCCCCTCTCCAAGGAAACCAGTCCCGACATCTCCACTCTATCGTCGTAACTGAAGTTTCTCATCTCCGGAACCATTCTTCTGAACCTTTTCTGCATGGCCTCCAATACATTCACAAGCTGCCTAAAAAATGGTACCTAGAATAGTAAACAATATTCCAGCTCAGGTTAGAACGATAAACCCTTAGGATTCCCTCGTTCACACAGCTCCTACCTTCACAATCTGCAGACAAGCAACACAATGGTCAACTATAATAGTTCTGTTATGACAATAAGTCGCACGTGCTCTAAAATATACAGTAATTTCTGAACTACAAAGCTTGTCATTGTTGATTTTATTTTGTGTTCATTAATTTTCTGCATCTTTCTCTCTATAACATAGGTGAATTCTGCACTTCTATTACATACCAGACGTGAACAGCTGCTGCAGAGAAACAAACACCATGGAATGCAAATCATTGATTTGCTGCTTGAAACTTAGAAGCACTTTCCAATTTTCTGAATTCTCTACAATGAGCAAGAGTTCAGTCTTAAATGGATACACCTGTACCTTCGTCGCAGAGCACGACATTGGTCATTTAAGTGGGATATAACTCCAGTCTTTATAAGTCAGGAAATTATCTCACTTATCTCACATTGTGAATTATCAACAATATGCATATATTGAATCGGTTTCTGGATATTATAATTTTTTTTAAAAATCAGTTACCTCTCCAGTTTTGTTTGCAAGTGCAATGAGATCCCGTTTAGGGGACCACACCATGTAAAGTATTTCATTGGGAAGTTGCTTCTCTCCAACTTGTCGAAATGGTGGCATGACGATGACTCTGTTGACAAAAAAAAAAGGGCTAGTGCCGGCTCATGAGATTAAACACAGTACATTTCTGCTGTTTGCAGACCTGTGAAGAGTCATACTTGCTACTAGAGTAATACAGATTGTAGACATGATTCTGTTTGTCTTTCACAATGGCATTCATTTAGGAGATGCAAGGATATTAGGATACAACCTACAGTAAGTATATCAACTATTACAGAGAATTCCCCAAAAAAGAGAAAAAACAAGTGTTTTTGGACATTAAGCCCTCAAGGCTAAGTGTCCCTACCTCTGGGCCAGAAGGCCTGGGTTCAAGTCCCACCTGCTCTAGAGGACTGAACAGGTTAATTAAAATAAAAACAGACCAACTGGAGGAGTTACCCAACGTCTAGTCAACCTCTATCTCTAACTGAGTCAGTGCTCCACAGTTGCCTTGAAGCTTGCAAAATCCAAAATTTTAGCCCCACCTTGGGAAGCTCTGCTCTAATAGAAGGTACAGATATTTGATTCTCTAATCTGAACCAGGGCAATCAAACAGCTGTACAAAACCTCCACATCAAGATACCACTCAAAGACGACAACCACTCAGTAAATCTTACGTTCCCCAAACTTGCATGTTTCCAACTGAATCAATTAAATTGGGCCAGTATTGTGCAACGAGGTGGATTAATTGACAACCTCATAGGGTAAGCGCCCCTCGGTAGCAGCGACAGCAATAATGTGACTGAATTTTATATTTCAGGTAAGAGTGAGCAAAGTGGCTCCAAAACTATATTTTAGCTTTAAATCTAAGGGCAATTATGAAGGCATGAAAGCAAGTGAATTGGCAAATTAGGTTAAATGATAGGTCAATACAGATACAGTGGCAGAAATTTTAAGGGGATATTTCACAATACACAGAACACATTTTCTGAAGAGTATGAAAAATTCAAAGGAATGCACCCACCATCCGCGGTTAACTAGAAAGATGGTTTCAAACAAAGAAAAAGCATATAAATGTGCAAAGACAAATGGCAGGTCCAGAAATTAGGCAGAATAAATAAAACAGCATAAAATGACCAAAATATTAAAGAGGGAAAAATCTGACTATGAAAGAAACATAATGACAGATATCGAAAGTTTCTATAACAAAAGAATAACATTTATTAAAGTTGAGCGAATCCATATAATTACAAATGGAAGATGGAGAATTGGTAAATGAACTGAACAGGCACTTTCCATCAGTCTTCACAACAGAGGATTAAGTAAGATCACAAATGTAACCAAAAATCAGGACATGGAAGACA